CATCATCATGAACAAATTTTGCAGCACAATCTACACTAAATTATATAGTTCACTCTCTTAAAATAAAAAAACAGAACTAGTATATCAATTGTACTCTTTAGGTCCCATGCATGAGAAATGTCCTGGCTTAGCAATCTAGTCACAAGCTTTTTAACCCTATGACAGCATCACCTGACTTGTTGAAGTCCTTACACATTATCCAGTACTCGTCTTTAGTGAGACGGCTGCAAAATAAGAAAAGATGAAAGAAAGTTGCATTCTAAAGCAAAAGAGGGCAACTTCCTCATTTGGTAAACCACCGTGGTTTGTGGTGTTTCTAAGGAGGGGTTCCTTCAAATGTGATGCTTGACTCAGACTTTTTGCACAAATCTTTTTGTGTTTTAAACACAGAAGATTCTGATTCATTCAACAAGAATCAATTTGTGAATTATTCATGCATAAAACCTCAAAAACGTTCGCTCCTTAGCACTGCAGTTTGTAAAAACACTACCAAGCAGCGGCGAGACTGCATATTAAAGAGCGCTTCACTGTTTTTATTCCGCCAAACATCTTAAACAAACTGCTAGTACCTATTAAAAAAACTCCACCAAACCCCCTGGATGACCTGCAAGGCTTCTATATGAACACACAGATTGAGACACAAGGGACCAATCATGTAAAATTAGATATTTACTGTTAGTAAACACCTCATTGAGTTTGTGTCTGCTGAGCTGTGGCGGTGTTCCCCAATGCTGGCGGCAATGAGGCAAATCGATACATTCTGTCTTTTGATAAATAGCCCAATCGACTGAATGACAGTAAGCCCATCACCTCTTGCTGCACATTAACACATCCAGGCAACAGCTGAGTTTGAGGACAGAGCCAATCAACTCAACTATACACTACAGAGAAAACTGACCAGGTGGGTGGCTAGTGACTTTCCACAAGGACAAAATGCCATTGATACAGTGTAGTCATGGGCAATCCACTGCACACCGTTACAAAAGCATAATACCAGTGCACTCCTACTCTCAAAATTAAAATCTGACAACACCAAGTCTGGCCTTGCAACCGTGCAACTGTAGTAGGGATGGGTGGTATAACTTATATTATATAGAGCTTATACACCAGTAAGCGCAAATAAGCGTGCAGTGCAGCCATCTTTAACTCTTTGTGTTCGAACTTTCGTTTTTGCTGTAGCTCTGTATATTTCTATGGCCTCGGTGTAGAAGAGTATTTAAGCTGGGGAAGATCTTAGTGATGCGAGTACAGATTAGTTATTGTTTTTATAATACACTAACTGTTAATAGGCTAACTGTTAAAATTATTTTTATTAATAGCCTATATGTATGCGGATATTGTTCGGCGTCAAAGACGCGGCTGTCAACATGTCAATTTACTGTACAACGTGTTATTTTTCCAAAGTTAAATACAAAATGAAACGTCACGTGTTATTTAAATGTTTTAATCATACATGAAAGAGGCGTTATTGTGGCAAACATTGGGCTGTCGATTAATAAACACTTGTTGACACAAACATTTTTTTTGTTTTATTTATAACTAACAAAAAGACGAGTAGTCGAGTAACTCGTGTATTGTTTTGACAAGTAACCAACCACGAAAGAAAATAGGAAATCAGTCATGCAACCCCTATTATATACATCACGTTAATGCTGTATTTCACAAAATAGATGATGACATGAAATACATTTGGGAAGTAAACATGCTATACCCGAGAACTATTTTAAACAAACGGTTTTTTTTTTTTTTTATTATAGTACATTCAGTTTTAATTAGGGGTGTAACAATATATCGTGCCACAATATATCGCAATACAAAAATGCAACAATACGTATCGTGGATAGTCCCCCCCCCCCCCAAAAAAAATTACTATGTGAGAAAAAAAATTCAAGTTTTCAGAGTTTTAGTGTCAGTACTACATTAAACTACTATATATAATGTTGATTATAATGTATAATAATGCAATGGGGGAATATTTGTGGGCCCTGATAATACCAAATGTTACCTGACCAGTAAAAAGTGTCCAACATTATTTTAAATATATCTAGTCAGTGAAAAAGTGCAAGCATATTCGTCTAAAATAGTTCTGTATTTTCAGCTTCAGAATCATGAATATTTTTATTCTGGTGTCACCATTGTCCTTGGGTTAAAAACACTGAGTCCAAGCCTATTCATTTACACACACAATGTAATATCAAAGTTAGAATTTTAATTACATTACATTTTTTGTTAACCTTTTATCATATGTCTTGGAGTATCGCAATAATATCGTATCGTGAGTTCAGTATCGTGATATGTATCGAATGGTGACATGAGGGTATCGTTACACCCCTAGTTTTAATGACTACATATTAAATGACAAACTCAAGAAACGTTTAAATTGATCACACTGCAGAGTGCTTTAAAGTGAAGGTCAAAAAATGATGTGACCAGTTACTGAACATAAGATGTACACTAAAATAAGATATTAACCCACGAGAGTCGTGCAGATTCTTAACCAGCTGACAAATTTCTACTATTGCACCACCAAGCTGTACTTTATAGCCATGTTTCCTTTGACAGAAATGTGTATATCTGATTCTGAACATGAAAACACTCAGTAATAAGCTGGAGCAGCTTGGCTGAGTGTGTGTGTCTCTAACAGACGTGCCCAGCAGGACTGGCGATGTTTCCAGCACGTGCGAGGTGGCATTCTGGCAGAGAGTCGGCAGCACCAATGATGAGACGAGCTCTGCAACATATGGCAACAGAGCTGCTCATGCCACAGTGGATATCATTAATGAGTGCAGCTTTCTTTGGGATAAAGACCCTGCTTCTAGGAAATGTGCCTCTGAAATGAGGCTGCTCAAATACATGACTCTGAGAAACTGGCTTCTTTGATTTTTACCCGCCTGGAATCAACTGAACTTCTCACTGATGACTGAGCATGTAAAGCACCACTTTTAAAATGCTCAATGTTTATATATATTTATTTTGATTTTTAGTCAAGCAATGGAGGAGGTATTCTAGATATGCACAATTTATCAGACAGGCCAATGTATATCTGAGAATGTCACCATTGGCCAATAACTCTGCGTACTTGTCTGAATAATAAAGTGTGAACATTTAAAAACAGCACTGAGAATTAGGGCTGGGTACCGAGTTCGGTACTTTTTAGGTACCGACCGAATTGCCTCGATACTACCGAGTATCGAAACATGTCTTGTTTTTCGGTACCACATTTCGGTACCTAAGTGGTTAATCTCGTCAACGTCAGTGAAACAATAAGCATGCAGCATGATTGGCTGTGGCGGAAAAACACTAGATTACGCGGCTGCCCAGAGACGCGGCTCGTCGCACGTGAGGCTGCAGTGTGTGTGTGTAAGCGTGCGTCCCAACCCAGATAGATAGAAAATATGTGGAAATTATCCAAAGTGTACCTATGTCATGTGCCAGACTCGATGCCAGATGCACGCGATGCAATATTTTCGACAAGATCATTGCTGCCAAGACCGGCAACACGGTAAATCTAGGCACTGAAGCGCACAAAATACACTTGAGAGTAATGGTGTTCACATCGAACGCGAATAGAGCGTCAAATACGCGTCTATCGCGTCTAGTTCGACGCTTGAATCTTCAGCTCGAGTTCAAATTTTTCAACTTGCGCGGAAGACGTTCGCGGCAAACGCGTCACCCAATTCGCGTCATTCGCAACGCCCGGCGCGAATGATGCGTCTATTCGCGTCTTTGCATTGACTATGTATGTAATCTACTCGCACAAATAATTAAATTCGCGTTCGGTGTGAACACACCATTAGTTAACACTTGTTCATTAATAAACAATTAAAATATCTCCTTGCTATTGTTTCCACATCCATAATCATTAGGCTACTTTTGCCAGTGCTTTGCTGCAAGCTTCACGTGCAGGTATTTATCCCGCCCCCCAGTAGCCTATATTTAATTTAATTCACATTTATTTGTATAGCATTTTTCACAATACATATCGTTTCAAAGCAGCTTTACAGAAAATGCATGTCTAAATTACAATTTAGAGTGATCTGTTATCAGAGGTGACAGTGTAATGCATTTCAATTAATTTTCATTCAGTTTCATCGTTAATTAATGCATTAAGTTAAAGCAGAAACAATGAGCTCATTGAAGTAAAGAATACATGTTGTTAAATGATTAGGAAACATAGAAAACTTTAGCATTGGTGCTTTTTTACATACTCAAAATATGAGTGTAAAAAAGTCAACAAACTGAAAAAAAAATTAGGTAATGTTATATTGTTAAACCTGGTTACATAAAATTGGTATCGAAAAAAGTATCGTTCAGGAACCGGTATCGAAGTCAAGGTATCGGTATCGGTACCGAACATTTTGTTACGATACCCAGCCCTACTGAGAATAAATGCATTTTTAATTCAAACAAAATACTGCTGTTTATATTATAAAAGCAATGAGTCACATAGGTTTACTACAAGGGTGTTTTACCAAAATAAAATATCATTATTGCCTTAATGTCATATTTATATCAGCCACACTGCCTTCTAGATATTGGCATCAACATCGGTCACTGAGTAACACACACCAGTCAATCAATAATACTAGGCATGTTGATTTCTAGGCATGTTTTGATCATGTTCAAGCTCATTTTCCCACAGGCTTGGGTGTCTTTCCTTTAGTTTTCCTTTAGTTGCGTTGAGCCAGTAGCTCCTACGATGGTTCTCTAGGGTAAATATTCATATCTCCTGGGGGAACAGCAAGGCTCTTAGAAGCTTATTTGCCAAAGGATGTTGTTACTTGTATTTTGCTACTTATGTAATCAAATGTTTGCGTGGAAGTCAGGAATAAAGGAGCCGCACATGCAGCAAAATTACTATGTGCAACAATACTTCCAACACCGAAGGGTGGGAGGACTGCCTTTGTTTAGATATACACAAACAACGCATCCACATTTGACACTTTCTTCGAAGTGAGTTAGGCTAGCTATGTTGCCAGCTCTTCATAAAAAAAGGATACAGTCTTAGGGCTCCACTCTGTGTGCCAATAGCCAGAATTTTCTGTACAGGGTCAAAAGCCATGGAAGAGGGTTGATAGGGAAAGCCATGTCGCAGTGTCTGTGAAGCAGAACATGATTTGCATTCAACTACAAACATGACAATGGAGTTCTTAAAGGAATAGTTCACACAAAAATTAAAGTTCTTATTCACATTTTGATCTAAACCTGTGTTGACCACGTTTATCAAGTGCACTATATTCTAAGCAACTTTGATGAGAAACTGACAGAAATTTAAGTTGTTCTTTACTGATAACCTTCCCTGTGACCAAACACGATGCACCAATTCAAAGATGTGGATTGGTTTATAAAATTTAAAGCTGATATTTTCAGAAAAGAACCTATAATCCAATCTGTCCCTCAGACAGCCTCAGAAGACTAGAATATGAAGCACTTTTACCATACTTTTTTTAGAGCTTTACAGACATGTTATTATATGTGAAAGATCTGCGTAAAGAAAGACATACAAAAATTCTCCATTTCTATTCCATTGGAAATACTATAATAACAATAATTTTCATTTTTTAGGCAAACTTAATCTTTCCTTTGGAAAATAGTACGCATGACAGATAACATCATTCCATGTCAATAATTCAAAAGAATCTCTGAAAGACTTGAGCAAAGAAAACACAATATTAGTTAAACATTGCATATGCGGAAACATCCTTAGGTCAGTGCATAATCATCATGATACTTTGAGTATGTCAATATACATGAGGTAAACAAAGAAAAGTAAAAAGGAACAATATAGCAAGGCCTTTCTTTTTATCAGCGATAAGAACTTTAAAGTAGTCGAATGCTTACTAAAGTTAAAGTAATACTGTGTGTATAACAGGGTCTGAACAGGGTGTGATTGTTTTGAACCTAATTTTAAACGTTCCCGAAAGTTCTGCCACCACAACGCAGTAATTCCTAATAGCACAAAGTACATCATATAACATTTGAAAAGTTAAAAAGTTGCAATTACAGTATATTCACAGTTTATGAAAATGAAATTACTAAATATAATTAGAACATTTTAAATATCTATATTTTTGTTAAATCATTTGAGTTATATTTTCTCATATTTATATTATTTATTTTGAGTTTCTGCAAGGTCATAATTTTATTATAATAGGGTAATTCTGTCAAATCTACAACATTTTCGAAATTTCCCAAGCTCAAATTTTTTATTTTGTTAATATTTTTTTCTGAAAAAAGAAGAACACATAAAGTGATGAAAGCCAAAATATTAAAAGTCATGGATGTATATTGAGTTATCCATTGTTTTGTCGAGGGGGTCAAAATGACAATTTTCACCTGAGATTTAGAACAGGGGGGTAAAAATGACTGTAGAAAGATGACAGCATCATTTTTATTTTACACAGAGATTGGTTGGTCTATTATTAATAACTTTTTGGCATTATGTGCCAATGGTGACAGTTCAAAAATGGGGAAAAAGCACATCTTTTTTTTTTTGCCCAAAGTTTTTTTTTTTTTGGGGGGGGGGGGTTGGGGGGGGGGATTTTTGTACTTTTAGGTCATTTTGACCCCTCTATACAAAATAGCCTAATGGATTACTCAGTAAATATACATCCAGGACATTTAATATTTTTGCTTTCTTCTTAATTGATGTATGTCTTTACTTTCACCAGAAAAATTGATATTTCCTGACAGACAAGTTTGACATAAATTAGTCTGTCATATACCTCATACTAACTTAAATCAGTTTCTCTGCTTCCATAATAATCTTCAGGAAAGCAACATTAGATGATGACTAGATCCACCATACACAGTGACACTCAATCAATATAATAATAAAATAATAATATTTATTATTTTAAAATAGTATTTTAATTATTATCATTATTAATATCAATATGTAATCTTTTTTAATCATTTAAAATATTTAAAAAATATATTAAACAATCATTAGTTTGGCTACTACGATTTTCAACAGCCAGCGAATTAGAACATAAACGATGCATTCACACTGTTCTGTTCTAAAATCCGAATTAAACTGCTAGACAAGAGATTAGCACAGGTATTTCTTGACAGACGAGACTGACACGCCTTTCGGCATGACAGAAATCAGTCTGTCATTTAACATGACTCATTCCTCATACTAACTTGAATCAGTTTCTCTCTTTGAAAAAGTAATTAGAGTAAATCAATTCGTTTTAAACACCGAACACCGATTAGTCAACAGTCAACTCGGACGTCACACGAGTGATTTATCTCGATGGACCGACCTCTGGGTGATTATTCCAGTCGGTGACGGTTAAAAAACGAGTGTGGGTGATTTAACCGACTGTGATTCGAGTTGAAAACCATCGACCCTTGGCGAGCAGCTTTTAAATGCATTAGAATATCATTAGAATATTGAGGCGAGTTGGCGCCACTCACACACACACACACACACTCAGCCCCCCTGTGTGAGATCACACATCACAGTAACTAATCCCACCTTGCAGAGCTGGAAATGCTCTGACTGCAGGGTCTCCTGAATCATGTCATTCTCTCTGCTTCCCGATGGAGGGGACGCGGCAGCGGAGGAGGAAGAGGAGGACGCAGTCAAGCCGTCCAACACCTTCCTGATATTAAACTTCTTCATATTACCTCCAGCAAAAGCAAAACGAATGCAAAATGTGCATGAACAAGAGCGAGCATTAACCGAAGGTGGCGGAGACAGCCACACAAGCGCACTGTTGTTGATGTCTCACATGTCAGGCAGTGTTGTCATCCCGTCTCGTGCCCGAGCGAATGTCATAATCCCACGCTCATTTCCTAAACAAGGCCGGAGGATCGAAATGTCACTTCTTTTTCATCTTAATCGCGTCGCGGACAGCGTAATCCAGTTAGATTTGGCCAATCTCACTGTGTTCCGTTCCCTCCCCTCGGCTGGTTCCCCCCACTGCTAACACGGAAACGCAGAGCGCTGCAATCCCCGCGACGAGTCTGCGCTGTCGACGCGACACCCGGATGTGCAGGAGACGCGCCGCTGCGGCGCACTGACTCAGGATCAGTGCGATTGGTCTATGACAGTTATCTAAAATAACCTTCAGCCTTCAGCAAAGTCAACAGTACCAACATTACCAACATTAGATGAGGATTATGATGAAGATGAGAGCAATCACCCACCGTGATGAGGATGGCTTTCCTCGGTTTTATTTTTGTACACTCAATAATAGCCTAATACAATTTTATTGAATCACTATAGTATGAATGGTAATGAAATAATAAAGAAACAATTTTATTTATTTTTTTATAAATTATCTATTATTATTATTATTATTATCATTTAACAATATTAATAAACAAGTACTACATTTGGTATTATTATTATCATAATATTTAACAATATTTAATAAAAATAAGACTTTTTTGCTGCTCAAAAAAACATTTATTATCATTATCAATGTTGAAAACAGTTGTGCTGCTTAATATTTTTGGATAAACTGATCATTCTTTTTAGGATTCTTTTAAAAAAGTGTTTATTTATAACAGTTTTTACAAAACAGACACAAGTCTCACAAAAAATGTATACAAAAAGTATCCTGTACATAAAATAAACAAACAAAGGGAAAAAAAGATATACTTTGTAATTGTATATTTAAATTGAAGTAGTTGTCGCAATGGGAATCTGTATAGTCTATTATAGTCAATTATAGCCTAGGCTACTACAATACAATTAACAAAAGAAGCAAAGAACAAGTCATGAAACAGCAACATATAGAAATATCCATTCATATCCAATATGCATTCATTGTTTGGACAACAGATGTAATTGACTGTATAAAGTTACGTATATTGCAGCTTTCCCTGATAACAATGTGGCAATTTGCCCCCACCTAAATGTGCAAAAAAAACACTCATTAAAAAAAATTATAACATTATAACTCATGTCTATTTTGAATGTGGTTTTGTTTTTAGTTTGACAGAATTCTCAAAAATATAATTCAGTTTTGATGGAAACTACTTCTACAGAAAATTGTAGTGCAACTGGACTATTGTTTAATATGCCAGTATACTTATAAGCAATATTAATTATTTTTTACATTTGTTATATTTACAAAAAAAATTCATTCGAGATATGGGATTTTGTAGTTTCTGAGTTGTTTGTATAGTTATTTTTGGATGAAATTAATGGATGTTTTTGTTTTAGTTTTTTTGTTTTGTTTTGGTAATGTGTAATTTGTATTTTGTGAGAGAAAAAAATGAATTACTAATTACTTTCTAAAAACTCATGACCAGTTGAACAATACAAGGATAGACATGAAACTGCTCTTTTAATTCTTTAAAATAAATAATGTGAAATTGCATAAATTATTCAAAGTATTATACAAAGGGAGAATGTTACGTTAAAAAACATACATTTTAACATTAGTTATACTTTAGACTGTTGAATGCTTGATTCTGATTGGTTGACAAATAGGCTACTAAGGATAAAGTAGTTCCAGGCAGCTCTCGACCACATTACAGTTCCATATCACTTCGCCAAATGATTTCAGTTATTTCAAAGGTCCTTACAGACTACAACAACAAAAGAACCAAAACCCAAAACTGGTAGATGCACAGACTGAGGTAATTCACACGCTTAATCTCTCTGTCACTTGCCCTGTCCAAATACCCACACTTGCAGTCTTTGGATTTGACCACTTGCCTACTTACCTGACGTATTTCCTCTATTTGGCCCAAGTGTTCAAGTTGGCGTGTAAACTGCAAGTGTGTGTAGAACTTTTGATTACCCGATGGGAAACTGGACACACAGTGTTGCAAAAATGCAATGTTTACAGAGCTTTATTTTGATTCTCAATACTTTGCATTTTAAAATAAACTTCTAAATGCCTGCCAGTAGTCCCTACGTAACAGAAGACAGTTTAAAATTGTGGTGCTTCTAATTAAATGATAAAAAGCAGTTGCAAATGTTGTACAAACTACACACAGCCTGCTCCTCTTTGCCCCAATAAAAATAACACTTTATGTTTTACTACCAAATATCGAATTAATTTAACTTACAGTGGAATGTTTTCCTCAACATCTCGCGATTTCGGGGCACTTGAGTTCCCAAATATAAGGCATTATGGGATACGCTTAGCTTTGAATACCGCTCCGAAGTGGCATTCGAGATAGGCCCTGTAAATGGCACCCTTCATATGCACTTTCGGTCTTGTGGACTTACAATGGCTGCCACTTGCGCGTTTCCATTAAGTCCATGAGACCGTAGGGTGTACCATTTGTCATTTCAGAAGGGTGCTCATGAGCGCCCCTTTTGCGGTCGATATGCGCCCTCTCAAGTGGCCAAGACCGCAAGTGTGGGTATTTGGACAGGGCATTTGTCACTCTCTCCGGCTGTTTCTTAATGCATTCTTGTCTGTACTTGTGTTCTTGTGGACTTATGAAACGTCATCAGTCCCTGCCCAAGTACTGTTCCAATTCAAAGTTCACATCTAAGTACAGTGGAAATCCCCGGATGTGTTCATGATCTGCCCCTTTTATGAGGATGCATCGAGAGGTGACTTGTGCGGACTTGAGACAGCAGATATCCCAGAATGCATCTCGTTCATGTTAATTTAATGGGTTTTTCATTTGTGTTTGTTAATTTCTATGCACCCAATAATGGTGCAGAAAGGATAAAGGTTTTTAAAAATTGCCAAAATATGTTGGGGAATTACGATAAAAAATGCTTGTTTAGTTTTGGGTGATGACTGGAATTGTACATTGAACATTAGATTTTACCTTAGAATGGAGATTTCTGCTACTTGTTTAAATAATGTAATAAGCCATTTTGATTTGTGTGATGTTTGGAGATTACGACATCCGGTAGAAAAACAATATACTTAAGTAAGTCTTCAAGTGACCACATCCGATTTGTTAGGTTAGATCGTATTAATATTGATAAAGACTGGTGTATTAGAATTTTAAAGGCCTGTATTTAACCGAATGGTTTTTCAGATCATCATTTATGTATGATTCTTTTTCATTTACAAAAGATAAGATGTCATAGTTATTATTGGCATTTTAATGTAAAATTGCTGCATGCAGGATGCTTTCTTTTGTGAAAAATTTCATTTATTTTGGGCAAAATGGAGAGAGCGAATGACTGATTTTGCTAATGTTGTGCATTGGTGCGATGTGGGAAAAGCACACATGATTTTTTGTCAAAATTATACAGCTAATGCAAATTATTGTTTTTAAAAAACTGTTATGGAATTGGAAAATGAAATCCAATCAATTGAAAGAAGGCTAATTAACCGAAATGGTGAATCAACTGAAAGACTGAATGAAAAAGGGAAAGCTTTGACCTCACTTTTTTATGAACGAGCTAAGGGAGCTTTAATAAGAGCTCGTTTCCTTTCTCTAAGAGATCCATGATCTGGTGCACTAAGTTCTTTCTTTTTTTTTTAGTTTTGAAAAGAGGGAAGGAGCACGGAAGTCAATGCTACATCTAAAGAAATCAGATGAAACTGTGACAACTAATCCTAAAGAAATGAGATAAATGGCTATTGATTTTTATACAGAACTCTTTTCAGATGGTCCATGTGACATTGGCTGTATGGATGACCTTTTTAAAGATTTACCAAAGTTGACTGATAAACAGAGGAATCAACTGGAATTTGAAAGTGATATTGATGAAATAACAAAAGGCTGTTAGCCAGCTATCCATTGGACGTGCACCTGGAATTGATGGACTTCCAGGTGAGTTTTATAAACACTTTTGGGACTTATTAAAATAGGATTTGCTTGAGGTTTATAAATCCTCTTACAGGAAAAAAAGAACTGCCAACAAGCTCTAGAAGAGCCGATTTGTCTTTGTTACCAAAGAAAGGTGATCTTGGTCTGTTAAAGAACTGGAGACGAGTGGCAATTTTGTGTACTGTCTTTCAAATAGATTAAAATTGTATTTAGAACATATAGTAAATGATTATCAAACTTATTGTATTCCTGACAGAACTAATATGGATAACATCTTTCTTGTCCGTGGTATAATATATTGGAAAAAAGAGATGGTTGGTGACAGTATTGGAATATTTGCAATTGATCCAGAAAAGGCATTTGATAGAGTCAGTCACTTTTATTTGTTTAGCTCCCTTAAAGCTTTTGGTTTTCTTTTTATTTCATGACTCATGGAGAAGGGCTAAGCCAACCAGTGTCCTTACGTAGTAGACAAGGCTGTCCTTTGTCAGGAATGTAATATTCTTTAGCCATTGAACCTTTGCTTCGTTATTTGGATTTTTTTTTTGGATGGCTTTCTAATTGATGGACAAAAAGCTCAAACCTAAGTTCCCTTTTGTAGTCACTGCGAGTTACGTCGAATGGCAACTGAATGGGGGGTTTCGCTTAGAAGCCTATCACCTTCGAGTATTAAAAAACGAGCCAATGGCAAAGAAATGCCATGGGTCTGCGGAATTTGCATAGCCTAGCTCCGCCCCACCTCGTGGGTATATAAGGAAGAACGCTGGCAGAATGCAGACATGTTTTTGCTTCGGAGCCAAGAGGTCCTCTTCACTCCTACAGCCTGAATTCTCTCTGAGTGTCATCGAGTATCCTTTGAGACGAGCAGCTCTCCAGTCTGTGTTGGTGCAAAGGCGATTCCCAGCGATTTTCACACTCCTGCCTTGCTGATTTGTGCAGTGGTCTGCATCCAGCGTGTATGTTTCTCCCTGGCCGCTTCAGCACAGGCTGCTGAGCGTCCTTTCACAAAAGAGCTTGCACGGGCACGTCTTTTTCAAGATGTTTCACCCGTGTATTTCTGGGTGCGGTCGTTCCGTCTCATTATCTGATGGGCATGATCGTTGTCTTGCGTGTTTGGGCTTAGAACACGCAAAGGCAGCTTTCATGGATGAGTCATGTTCTCACTGCGGGAACATGACCATCGCTGCTCTAAGATCGAGACTCCGTGACCTTATTAAAGGTAGAGTCCCCTCTGCCACACCCGATCTGTCCCCTCCACGAGAGGCG